AAATTTTAAATTGGTGAGACACTTAAAATGATTCTAGAACAATTCATTTTAAATCCACTGTATATCGAAAACGGTAAGTGCAAAGTATACTAAACTATATATTTTTAAAATTAGCTAAAATATGTGTGGGGTTTCCATTTAAAAAAATCAAGATGGCGTCGTATCTGTCAAAATTGACGTTGTAAAAATTTTTAATGTAGAAAATCGGCATCCTCGCGAAAAACTACATTAAAATATCTTTTACTATCTTAAAATAGAAAAGAGGAAAATTTTAAATTGGGTGAGACGCTTAAAAATGATTCTGGAACAATTTATTTTTAAATCCACTGTATATCGAAAACGGTAAGTGCAAAATATACTAAACTATATATTTTTGAAATTAGCTAAAATATGTCTACCGGACCATGCTAAAATATGTGGGGGTTTCCATATAAAAAAAATCAAGATGGCGTCGTATCTTTCAAAATTGACGTTGTAAAAAATTTTAATGTAGAAAATCGGCATCCTCGCGAAAAATTACATTAAAATATCTTTCTAATATCTTAAAATAGAAAAGAGGAAAATTTTAAATTGGGTGAGACACTTAAAATGATTCTGGAACAATTCATTTTTAAATTCACTGTATATCGAAAACGGTAACTGCAAAGTATACTAAACTATATATTTTTGAAATTAGCTAAAATATGTCTACCGGACCATGCTAAAATATGTGGGGGTTTCCATTTAAAAAAAATCAAGATGGCGTCGTATCTGTCAAAATTGACGTTTTAAAAAATTTTGGTGTAGAGAATCGGCATCCTCGCGAAAAATTACATTAGAAAATCTTTCTATTATCTTTAAATACCAAACCGGAAAATTATAAATCGAGTGAGACACTTAAAATGATGTCCCTGTACGGAATGTATAAATGCATACCGGTTCCAACAACTAGATCGGTGGGACCGATACTGAACCGGTATACGAGCTGAACCGGAAGACCGGATGGTCAGACAGACCGGTTGGACTGGAAGACCAAACCGGAATATCGGAAAGATCCTATACAAATGAAGGAGTGCCCATAGAGCAGTAGCTGAATAAACATTCTGACTGGCAATCATAATTACCTTGTGTTAGATACTAAACTTCTTTATTAGACATTTTGACATTTTTACTATATAATTTATTTGTTAAATCAAAAAAATAGGCCCTATGAGCTCTATTGTTGGTGTTTAAAATGTATGAATTCATATTTTATTTTTGTTTTGACTATGTTACACTTCTAATGATCTATAAAACATAAAATGTAGTAAAAAAGTCTATATTTATTATTTTATATGTTACAAGGAATAATTTTCGTCTTGAATAAAGTTACCGTTTTAGTTAGCGTTAATAAGTAACGGAACGCTAAAATTATGCTATGCCAACACTCTCCATTAGTTTCTTCCGGATCACCAGGTGATGACGAACTTATTTGTTTTATATCAGTGTCCAATCTATCTCTAGTACATGACATTAGCCTATGACCGATATTCTGATTAGAATGTGATTTGAGGTGCCTGTTTTGCAAAGCGCTTTGATAGGTATTTGACGTTCACAAAAATCCAGAAAAAGTATCGGAAGAGTGAAAACTACCTCCACCCCTACATATATGTTAGTATAAATGTTACGGTTAAGGTCCGATGTCCGGTTAATGTCGACATTACCTGGTTAATCTCGAGAATAACACACAACAAAACAACCAAAAACATAACGTAACCCAAACATTAACATGTCGACATTAATCGGACATCGGACCTTAACCGTAACATAAATATTTTCCAAACTCACCGACGACCGATTTTTTTTTTTGTAAAACAGTCCTCCTAGTATTTACTACATTTTTTGTCTCTTGTCACACCAAGCTATGTAGGCGCATAAAATCTATTATGGGCTAATAATCTAGTTAGCAAAAATATGGAATTTTATGTTAGTATCTATCACAAATCACAAATGATATTTGACAATAAGCTTCATAAATTTTATATTAATTATTAACGTTCGGATTTATTTTTGATTGATGCCTAACGGACAAACAAAGTCTTTACTTTAGAGAGTAAGTTGAGTCCAATTAACTTATTTTGAGTCAAAAATACGTAGTTGTTCTATGGCTGCTTTGGGAAAAAAATCCATTTTTTTCCTCAAAAACTATGCGATGCGGAGTTTTTTTAAGAGATAAAAACCGTAGTAAATACTATGAGGACTATTTTACGAAAAAACAAGTAGTAGCTGTGGTAGTAGTCGGTGGAGTAGGAAAATATTTCCTCCAAAAATTTATGTAGGGGTGGGGGTAGTTTTTATCCTTCCCTTACCTTTTTTTTATTTGTGTGTAAGTCAAACGTTAAAGCGCTTAGAAAAACATAGGCACCCCAAATCTCATCCAAATCTTAAAATATGTGCTTATTTTTTTAAAGCTTGCAGTGGCGGCTCGTGACCCTTGTGACTAGGTAGGCGACAAAATTTTAGTTGCGTCTATTTGCATAGGTTGCACTTTTGTATAGGCTTGGCGCATTCTCCGCCGGTGCTGCCACCGTCGGAGAATATCGTAAACAATCGATATATACAAATACATTGGTTTAAATAGCGAGTATACGGAAAATTTATTATTTAATTATTCTAAAAGTGTTAGGAAGTGTAATTTGAAAAAATTCTAAAAATAAAAATAAAAAAGTTTAAAGGTACATAATTATAATTTTAGAAGATGTTCATAAAACATTTAATCACTAGTTGATTAAAAAAAGTATTCCATTAATATTGCAAATTATATTTTATCCTCTCATAGTATACCGGGTGCGTCTCGAAAGTGGCTCACCCCCTATAACTTTTTATTTTTTCAGATAAAAAAACAAGATTTGGTATGTTAGTATATGACAGAAATTAGGATTGATTGACATATTCAATTGTTTTTGGTCACTTCCGGTTTCACCGGAAATTGTCATTACACAACATGACGCCTAGTTCGAATTATTTTTCACTTATTTTTTCTACCCGAAAAAGCGTTACATCACACAAATCTCGTATCTGAGTGTTTTATAGTTTCAACTATGGTTTCAATAACTGCACTAGCAAAAAACCAAAGTACTTAAATATTATGACAAAAGCACGATTTCAATATTATTTTAATGCGATCAACATGACGGCGCGGCGCGGCGGCGGCGTCGTGAACTATATAATGATAATTTCAGATTTTTTCCGTTGAAGCGCTGCGGTCGGAATTTGTTCAAATCAACTGAAATGCACCAAGCTTATAGAGGTAAATTATATCCAATGAACTTATTTTGATTCCAAAGATAAGCAGTAGTTTTATGTCCGTGGAATATTGGGATACCCTGTATTACATATGGCTTTTTCAACAGTAAATTTTTATTAAAGCCACCATGATTTTTGTAAGGTATTTTACCATATTATGTAAAAACACGTTCAGTTTTTAATTCTCCATCCAACAAAAAATAAGATACAATATATTTTTTATTGAGGATGACAATCTGTTTGGACGTGGCGTAACAACCTAGAGTTGTTTGTTCTTGTTCCACTATATTAAAATTATATTAGGATGTCTATAAAAATATCCTTTATTTTAGAACATCGAAGGATGTAAATTAAATGTCCGGAGTACATCTACCCTGAATATCTGAATAATGAATAAAATGAAGAAAAATTATTTTATTTAGACTGTTTAGCATGGAATTTTGAACACCCTGTGTGATTTACGATTACGATATTACTAGTAGCACTATTGTTTTAAAAAAAGGCTGAAAATGTATTTTTTTCATTTATTTATTTATATCTCTGAAATTAAAAAATAATAATAAACAACTATGTAAAGTTCTTAAGAAGCCAAAAATGCAATAATATAGAGGGTGTTCCAATGCAGTACCTGTGTGTAGTACCTACAATATGATCGAAAAAAAAGGGCGTCAGGGGGTCTATGAAATGAAGATCGCTCTCATTTTATATGTAAAATTATATGGGGAATGTTTTTGATTCGCATTTCCAAGCCAACTGGACACCTTATTTTTCAATCTTGCAGTACATATAATACTTTAGGTATGTACTTAAAGAAAATTACCAAGTTCTTTACAAATAGATAATGTTAACATTGATACTGTATCAGAAATCAAATACCTGGGCTGTATAATAGATAATAATTTGACTTTCTCAGAACATTATAAATATATAACAAATAAGATACCTAAAAAACAAATGTACTAGCTAGGGTCTCAAAAGAGCTCAGTATGTGGGCAAGGCTGACAGCATATAAAACCATCATAGCACCACATCTCTATTTTTGTTCGACACTTTTGTTTTTAATGAATAACTCTGAAATTGATGTATTGCAAAAAAAGCAAAACAAAGCCCTTCGAACAATTATAGGATGTAATAAATTTACAAGTAGACTGGATATGTTAAAAAGTACAAATTTGTTAAGTGTAAGACAAACGGTAACACATAATACAATGGTGTTTATATACAAAATGTTGAATGATCTATTACCCAAACATCTTCTTAATAATTGTACTTTTGTTAGGGACATCCATAATCATAATACAAGGTCTAGGAACAATTTTTATTTAAATATGTCAAACACCAATTATAGTCAAAATAGTTTATATTATAAAGGTATAAAGCAGTATAATGAGCTGCCAGAACATATAAAAACATGTGGAACATTGTCTCAATTTAAAAGAAAATGTATTGAATATGTTAAACAAACAATTGCGCTGTGATAGGTATGGACTTTAATGATTTTAATATGGCTTGTGTGATTATTTTAATATGGCTTGTGTGAGTATGTTATAATTTTGTTATTAATTTGTATTATTTTATGCTAGCCAGGTGCTATAAATAAAGAGAATCTACAGATGCCCGATGCACTGTTGCAGGATCCTATATAAAATTGCAATAAAAAATCAGGTGTAGGCAATTTCTGTTAGGTATAAACCTAATATTCATCATATACAAATAAAGCTGTAAAAGTGACTTACCTTTTTTAGGTATTGATGAAAAATCTCTTTTGATTAGCCTTCTTCTAGAAGGATCATTTCGCCGTAGCTGTAACATATTTTCGAAATCAACAACGTATAAGAATCCTGCGATAAGCAATTCCACACATTTTTCTCCATTCTTGTACGAATTCTCCAGTTCTTTACTGGTTCTCTCGTCATATTGCCACCAACCTGAAAATCAAATGTTTTTTATTTAAATTATTTTTTTTATTCCAAACATACCTGCTATTAATAGGACATTTTAAATATTTAAATAAAAATGTGTTACAATTTAAGCACACAGTAAATCCATAAAGTTATTTATATTCTAGGTTTCTTTAAACAACAAATAATATACATCATTATTTTTTGCTAGGTCTTTAAAACTAATTATTGAAGTATAGAGTCTTTTATTTTAAAAAATTATTTAAACAAGTAATAAATTAGAATAATAATGAATTGTTTTGTTATTTTAGGCCTGCCACACCTTTAACATTTAAATTTTGAATTTTGTCTCTTCTGATAGATCTTTTTCTATTCGGGTGAGACTTTGGATACTGAATTAGGTTTTGAAAGTCTATAATATATGCTCCTCCGCATATCATTATATTAATTAAAGATATATCAAGCTTAAATGCACTTTCTATTTCTTCTGCTGTTCTGTGTTCATATTTCCACCATCCTTGTTTGAAAATATTTCGATTTTAGTAAAAATGTTACAATAAAAATAAAATTCTCTGTTACCGTTTCTACCCTCATAAAACCACTGGTATCCTCCATCGAATCCTTCTGAAGAATCTGAGAGCTCCACATCTTGTAACAATTGTGGCTGATCCACAAAATCTCTAGGTATCTCCTGGCGACACATTGCGCATCTTTTATTCTGGTTTGCAAATCCTTTTACACATAAATAGCAAAAAATGTGGCCGCAGGGTAACTGTGCTGGATGGATGCAATGTTGTAAACAAACAGCACATTCTAGATTATTCGCTAAAAACGTTATTTAAAAAACAATAAATCGGGAAATATTCATATCAATTAATTAGCTTACTTTTACCTTTAGTTGTTTTTTCTGGATCAACTACTGCCTCTGCCATAATATTGATTAAAAAAAAAATGATATACTAATGACAAAACTAATGATTACTTGCCATTTAAGAATCTTTTTTCAGCGTTAATAAAAAAATTATACAGCATAAAACAACATTAAATTTTTTAAATAACTGTAAACTTAAAAAGTGTAAACCTGCGCTGTAAACTTAAAACAAGCAAATTCTACAATAACAGATAAATAAACACAATAAACACAGAGAATAAACATATAACCATTGATATGACTATGGATATGACCCATATGACAATTTTCGTTATTTTTTTTCAACATTTTTGTCTCAAGTGACATTTATATATGATTAATTATATTATAAATTTATATATGAATAAATAAGAATAAGCTTGAATAAGCGGTTCTATGAGTCAGATAGTGTAGTGTGTAGTTCCAGTAGTTCTATGACCGTTCTAAAGTCCCTAGCATCTAGATATATATCATGGATATATATCTAGGTTTTTTAGACCATTCTATTAAAAAAAATTATCTTCTTCCTACTTCTTCTTAACTACTACGCGTTTTGCGACGTCCGGCCGTACCTAAGGATACTGGCCGTACCCACATTAATTTTTTAACAACTGTCTGGCCATCCAGGGTAGGGGTAGTACCCCATTAACAGGCCGGAGAGTCCTAGTAGCTTAGGCCTCTAAATTAAAACAAATCTAAAAAGAAAATATTAGGTTAAGATCTGGTTAAGATCATGATCATGGATAAGATCTAAGGTGATCTAAGGTTAAGATTAGATTAAAAAGTTTACTTTTTACCTGCTTTTTACTTATTTTTATTTTCAAATTCAAATGATTAATGAATAAAATATTAATTCCATATTTAATGAACTGAGCAAATACAAAGACATGGCGCTTAATGACGCATCTACCGCTCAAGAAGCACTGTTTGTAAAATCCACAGTTGATAATTCTTTATTAAAAGAAAAAGTTCAGGGATACGACTGGTCCCAAGGATTAGATTACAAGAAACTATTTAATAGTTTTACACATACCGGTTTTCAAGCTACAAATTTTGGATTAGCTGTCGAAGAAATAAATAGAATGATTGAATGTCGAAATTTACCCATACCAACAGATAAATATATTGATACCGAAGATGATTTTACAACAATTAAGAATAATTGTACAATTTTTTTAGGATATACATCTAATATGGTATCTAGTGGTATTAGAGAAACTATAAAGTTTTTAGTACAGCACAAATTGGTGAATAGTTAATTTATTATGTACGTATAAAATTATTTTTAAAACTAACTGGTTGTAGGTAGATTGTATAGTTACCACAGCAGGTGGTATTGAAGAAGATTTTATTAAATGTTTAGCCCCAACATTTTTAGGAGACTTTAATTTAGAAGGCAGAATGTTGAGGGAAAAAGGTATTAATCGAATAGGAAATCTGTTGGTTCCAAATGATAATTACTGCCTGTTTGAGCAGTGGGTTCTTCCAATTTTTGATCAGATGTTAATTGAGCAAAAAGGAAAAGAAATTTTATGGACCCCAAGTAAACTAATCAGCAGATTAGGCCAAGAAATTAATAACGAAGATAGCATATACTACTGGGCTTATAAAAATAAAATACCAGTATTTTGCCCGGGTTTAACAGATGGGAGTATTGGAGATATGTTGTTTCTACATACTTTTAGAAATGCTGGACTTGTACTTGATATTATACAAGGTACAGTAAATAATAAGTAGTTTTTTTGTCTAATAATTAATAATTAAGATTTTAGATGTTAGAAGAATAAATCTGATGGCTATTAAAGCTGTAAATAATGGAATGATTATATTAGGTGGCGGCATCATCAAACATCATATTTGTAATGCAAATTTAATGGTAAGACCAATGTTAGTGTCATCAAACAAAATTAATTTTTTTAAATTGTAGAAAAATGGTGCAGATTTTGCAGTATTTGTCAATACGGCCACAGAATATGATGGAAGTGATTCAGGAGCAAGACCCGATGAAGCAAAATCATGGGGCAAAATTAAAAAAGATGCCAACCCAGTAAAAATTTACGGAGAAGCTACACTCATTTTCCCCCTATTAGTTGCTCAAACATTTGCAAAAAGTTTTTTCAAGGAAACATAAAAAATAGGATTTTTCTTAATAAATATCTTTAATTTGCTTAAACAGAAACTAAAAAGTTGAAATATATAATAAACATTTAAATTACATCAAAAATATAACCCAAGAAAAGAAAATATATACAAGAAAAAAACATAATAACACTCCACAAAGAATTTACTACGATTTCTACATTTCTTTTATCAGACAAAAAGCAATTATTTCTTCATTAAAAGAAACAACACTAAAAAGGTTTGTCCATACTAAAACTTATTTGTTATATTTTATAAATATCGTAGAATTCTCTATATTAATCAATTTATATAAATTCATGTATGTATATAGCAAAAACCATATAAAAATGAAAGAATTTATCGCCAAAAGTCGACTTCAAAACATTATTATTTCTTAAGAAAATTATTAAGAGTTATTACTGAAATCTTGTGAGTTTTTGATTGTTACTTTTTATATTAAATTAATCTTAGATCAGAAAAAAAATAAAGATTATTATTATAGAATGAGCATAAATCAATTATTTTTTATTTTTTTTGCTTGCCCGTGTTTTTAGAGAGAGCAGTTGCGCAAAACATATTTCAATTGAGTTATAATATATTATATAAACAAATAGTACGGATTAAATGTATATTTCACGTGTTAGCCGTCTAATTCTTGTTGCCAGTCGTGGTTCTTGTATTTCCAACAATTATCCAAAACAATCATGGCCAGTTTCCTTATAGCGTCCGGGGGTTCTGGATGTTTGATCAGTTCTTGTAGTAATACTAAACCTTGTTCTTTTTCCACCAAGTGGCAATATTTATCAGCTAGGAAGAAAAATAAATATCAAAAATCAATTTATTCTAAAAAACGAACGTTAAAAGTCGACAGGATAATCTCAATACTTTTAAATTCATAGAATAAAAAGACTAAAAAAAGAACATAACAAAATTGCGCGACTTCAATAATCATTGGCGTCCTAATTTTATTTAAAACGTTTTAAAATATTAAGTAGAGGAGACTCAAAAATTTGTTAGAATATTAAAATTGTTAAAAATATATATATTTTTGGGTAAAGGTGTGGATCAGGTGGCTGACCTTGAAGCCCATATTTGCTGCATTTGATACCACGCAAGCGCACATCGTCGATGTTGCCAAATTGCAGTTTATTTTCGAATTATTTGCAGTTGAAAATAAATGATTTTTTGAGTGTTAATCAGTAATAACACAAATTCTATAATTAATTTTATAATTTCAGACTTATCTTGATATCCAAAATTAAAGTAAGAAGGATAATGGAGATTTTGAAGTTAAAGTATTATGTATTATGATTGTAATCGGAGTTGTAAGTAATTAATATTATAATAAGACTAACATTTATATATATATATATATATATATATATATATATATATATATATATATATATATATATATATATATATATATATATATATATATATATATATATATATATTTATATTAGAATTAAAAATTATCATTTACGGATTTTTTCTTATTGGTTTTTAACCTATTAGAATTATTTTGTATCATCAGTATGACACATTTATTACATCCAAGTTATTTAATTTCTAGTTATTTACAGGCAACAATAGTTTCGATTATATCAAATTATATGTATTGAAATACCGTATGATCGAAAAAAAACGCCTAACTAAACAGTTAATTATAGAGGTCTTTTTAAGGCCTACGTAGTTTTAATGGAATGCTATAAAACCTATTATGAACATGATATGAAGCTACAGCATTTAAAAATTCAAAAAAAGAAGAAACTTGGACTTGGACACATACCTTTTAATTTTCCGAATTTTTAATAAAGCACTTTTAAACGTAACATGATAATTTAGAGTCTAGAGCAATTAGATTAATTATAGGAATGTAGAATTTTATTTCTATTTAATTTTATTGACTATGAAAATACATAATAAGCGTTCACGTATTGTGCGAAATATTAAAATAATAATATAAATAATACCGTATGATCGAAAAAAATGTGGCGTCAGCGATGACTATGCAATGAAGATCGCTGTCATTTTATATGTAAATTTATATTGGAATTGTCCTCAATCGTCATTTCCCAGCCAGCTGGACGCCGTTTTTTTTCGGTCATATGGTATATATATTGATAAAAAAAATCACTGAAAAACACATATTTGTTTTCTACTGTAAATAATTCCAAAATAACCTGCAATCTGCCAACATTGACGATGTGCGCATGCGTAGTATCTGTGACTATATGCAGCAAAACTCGTTTCAAGGTCAGCCACCGGATCCACACCTTTACCATATTTTTGATAGAAATAAATAAGTGTATAATTATTTAATAATCAAATTACAGATATCAGTGGCGGCTCGTTACCCGTGGGACTAGTTTAGGCGACAAGGCGTTTTAGTTGCATCTATTTAAAACCCTACCCCTAATGTTACATAATATCCTAACCCAGTGCGTAAAATTATGTTATCTCTGGGTTAAAAGAAAGAATAAGAATATTTAGGACAAAACAAAAGCAAAAATAACAGCATTCAACGTAATGTCATAATGATCGACATACTGTACAAGTATGTTTTTTATCTTCTCAGATGTTATTTTAATACTTTAATAAATAAGGTAGATGAAATACATTGATAGAATTTTGAACACCCTATATGGTTAAAGATTATGATATTAATATAGCACAGTTAGTACAGACCAACTATAGTAAATACCTAGTATAGTTTTGACTTCAGGACATTTCTTGTAGTTTTAATGAATTTTTTAAAAAGGGCTGAAAAAAATGTTTTTTTATTTATTTATTAATATCTCTTAAACTATCAAAACAAATTTAATAATATCTTGAGGATTGTGTAAACTGTTTAGAAAGAAAGACAAATATGCAATAATATACAGTGTTCCATTTACAAAAAATCATCGCGATCCCCTCACTTTTTTGAGCCACCCTGTAGAAGTTAAAATGTTTTCCTGAAATATATCCTAATACATACTTTAGGTCTGCACTTAAACAAAATTCCTAAGTTTTTTTTTTATTATAGGAGCCCGACGCACTATTGCCGGACCCTATATATCATTAGTTTAGTGAAAAGTTTTTTCATTATTTTTCACGTTCTTTTGTCATGGAAGAAGGTTTTTTTTCATGGAAGAAGGTCATTTCCATGACGTCACTTCCGTCTCCAAAGCATGAATTTAAAAATACTATTACACTTCTTCCTTAGTCTTGTTATTCAATGTGCCATATTTTGGAAAATAATTTTTAAGTATAAATTTAACAAAAATTAGTTCCAAAACTTACGATAAACTTTGGTAAGATTTGCTAAAGCCCAGACGGCCCACCTTTGACATTCCGGCGTGTGATAGATCTTGACAAGATACAAAATGGGTTCAAAAGATCTATAATTGATGTTCCTCACTGAATTCAAATCCCATCTAAAATCCGAATAGACAATAAAAGAATATGAAAAATAAAACTCCATCTTATACCTGTCAATGGCTTCTACCATTTTATCCAGCACTTCCTGACGTGACGGTTCATCGACCGTCCAAACTTCTGGACCATCAGACGCTATACAAGAATAATTAATCAGAATTGCTATAAGCTTACTTATTTTTCTGAGATCGATATAAAACAATATTTAAATGTTTACCTATGTGAGATATCACTCCAGCTGCATTGTAGCTTACTTCGATGCCATCACATCTGGAATCCAAGAGACTGGAAAAAACTTTCAAGTAATCGGGCGTCATTAGGTAATGGCGAAGTTCTTTCACTTCCGCTACGTTGCCCAACAAGCCCATCATGTTCCTTAAAAGGTCATCTTTCGCTGGGAATTTCTGAAAAAATGCATTTAAATGAGTGCCTTATTTATCTAAACCCTCCTCTACACATAACGTTTCACCAACTGCTGTCAGTTCTCTACACGGTTTTCAGTTTTAAATGACAGGCAAAATAAAGAGATACAGTTACAGAATATTGAAAGTTATCGTGTAAGGGATAAATCACATAATATTGTCAAGACTTAAATAGTTTTCAACTTGGGTTTAGATCAAATTGGGAAAAAAGCACAAATAATATAATTCGAGTAAACCGATTTGATATAAGCCCAAGAGATCGGTTACCTGCATGACATCGACCGATATGTTTTTAAATAACATTAAAAATTAAACAATTAAAATACAACAATCTCGGGTCAATAATCAAACGCAGGTTACCGAAGTTCGATTTCCTCATGGTCATAGCCGGGTGAATGTAATTAGATGAAAACAGATTGAACGACGTAACCGGCGATGACCACGAGGGATAGAAAATATAAAAATATATGCGGAAGAGAGTTCGGGGTGAGTCCGTCGATGTTAATCGCATTGTTAGTCAGTTAGTTGGCTAGTCAATGAGTCGAGGTTAGTCAGTCGGTTGGTTGCGAGAGAATCAGCAGAAGACAGTAGAAGACGTTGAAGATGTTCCTGTAAGTAAAATCATAGTAGAAGAAAAATAGTAGTTGCACCCAAATATTTTCTGCCAGATTTTTCGAAATCGGCAGATTGCAGAGGGCTTTAGTTGACATCCGTCAGTCAGCCTGCGAGGTTCGAGCGCTGCGTTCCAGCACAGGAAACGGATTGACAAAAAATGAGCGCCTTACTTTTTCTATTGCTTGTCTTAATATTTCTAAAAATTGTGCTTTGATTTTTTTACATTTGCATCGGATGGAAATCGGTAATCTAATAATAATTATCAATAATGGTATATTGTTTTAATAGGAGTAAAAATTACACTTCTTGTCTTATTGATGATCTGAGACACTGAAGACGAGACAGCGCCTCAGAACGCTGAAGTTATCAGCAAATTTTTGCAACCAATTTCGAGAATAATTGAATAGCTAATCAAGATCCCAACCGTTAGCCGCCGAGGCTGCCGGACTTAGTGCCTATGGATTTTTATTTTTGCGGAAGAATAAAGGTTCTTATTTTTAAATTGCCTGTATAAGCTAGACAAGAATTAGAAGTACTTAGCGGTTATGCGAGGGTATCTTTCACCCCCACTGAGTTAATGAATTCCGCGAGAAATGTTCAAAAACGGTCTTCTCTGTCCATAGCAGAAGATGGTCGATATGTCGAACACCTATAGCGAAATCTCATGTTTTGGTTTGCTATTAATTTTTATTGTTATTAGGTATAGTTTCAATGTGTTGATGTTGTTAAATATAGTTTAAATTGTTATAACATTCTGCATCTCTCATTGCAAATATTATTTTCGTTTTAATTGCTTCTCACAGCTAGATTTTTTTTGCATTTTACAGCCGGCGCGGCGCCGTTCAAAGCCTACTTATTCAAAGTGGGCGAATTTTTAAAAACTCTATATCTCTAAGAGGAATCGAGCAAAATATGAAATATGGTATATTTTTGGAAAAGTAATTTTAAATTATTTTCAATTATTTAAAAATATACAGGGTGTCCCAAATAAAATATCATTTTTTTTGTTGATAACTCTTAAATTATCAATTTAAAAAAAATATATATTTAAACCATTAAATTCTACGTAAAGAAGTGCTTTGGAAATGATTCCACAAAAATACAAAATTTATGCATAGCAAAGAAGTTACAGCGATTTGTTATAAATGCACATTTTTGAAAAACACCCCGTAACTCCGAAACGGTAAAAGATATCGATGTGCGGTTTTCACCATCATGTTTTTGATCCAGACACCGATATTAGTTTTCGTCTATCCTATCCTATCTCCTATAGAAAAGGGTGCTTCTCTTTAAAAGCGTCGAATTTGACCCACCCTGTACATCGAAAATTGTTTCCGCAAATTATTATTCATTTTTAATTGAAAGTATTTTATAATATAATAAAATAATACTAATCCGTTTGCTTAATCCGCAAACACATATCTGCTATTCCCGAAAGGCCATCCCATAACTATCCACTTAGGAATGCGGAGCACGATCTTTATCTGTCAACCCCGAGCTCAGAACTAGTTAAAGGCTCAATACTGTACAATGCCAAAAAAATGTACAATCATCTGCCTTTGAATATCAAGTCGCTTTCATTCTTTCCCGCATTCATTTCCTCTGAAATCATACTTACTGGAGAGAGCCCTATATGCGGTAAACGACTTTTTTGTTGATGTTTAATCATGAACAATTTTGAGGTTTAAAATTTTGATCATCTCACACACTGGTCAAAGGTCAAGTATTTAAAAAATTTAAAATTTTATAACTCTTAATATCTATTTACTGCTTACTATTCTGCAATTGTCCATGTATGTACTTTTTGTAATTATATGACTTAAATTTTTTTGAATTGTATGATTTGTATTGTGTATTTTTTGTTGTTTGTATATATTTTTTTTGTGCTTTTATTTGTTTTTTGATTGCTTTGTCGATGAAGCTGTTTTGACTTTTTCCACAATAAAGTGTTGTTTGTTTTTGTTTGTTATAGTATAATCTCTTGTAAATACTGTGGACTGTGTTTTTAATGGGCAAAAACTAGTTGTATTTTTCTAATACACTATTTCAAAAACACCCTAAAGTTGATAACAAAAATGGACGAAGTTTTCATCTTACTGTATGTTTTGGTAAATATTTTTATATCCAAAATCAATGTTTATTCACTAATATTATTTTACAATAAATAATTTTCAACTGCATCAGTACAATAAATCAGTTTGATTAAATCGCTAATTGAAAAATTTACTATGAAATTAATTTCTACCAATTTCTGAATTGAGCGGGTAAAAAAAATACATCCTATAACCTATTTTTTCTTTAATGGAAATCAATCATCAAAAACACCAACTTTAGAGTGAAAAGTGTGTAAACATAAAGATTTGCTATAGAAAATTCTACGTCATATTGTTACGGATTCCGTGGGTCCACTAATTTAAACTCACGATAAAATACTTAACGAATTTATTTTTCTCACAATTTATACTAATTTAACACACAACTAACTATTTATAAAATTCCTTCGCCAAATTGTCCGATTCGCAATTTAAAACGCGGTATTTTCAAACTTCAAACTCCTGAACTGCCGATTACGCGCGTTTATATAAGGTTCCGTCTGGAATGTTCTAAAATTACTTTATGCCATCTACCAGTAGATTCTATTGTTTCGTTCGTTTACTTGTCGACTTGATTAAGAGATGGTGCCTCAACAAAAATGTCTTCAGATTTCTTGACAATGTAGGCAACCAGCAATACACGTTTTAGTTACTCGCTTCTCCGACAGATGGCGCCACATACACCGTGACAATATTATAGTTTTTTTTCATTTAATGACTCTTAAATCTTCTAAATTGATTATACCCAATATCAGTCCAGTTAACTCATTAACTTAATAGACATACTAAGATATTCTTTGATCAAAATTGGTGTTTGCGTGTTGTGGGAAATTTGATTTAAATATCTCTAAATACATAAAAATATATTTTTGCCGCATTTCTTCCCATCCTTCAGATACAGAAGATTATTTCATACGTTTGAAAACGTTTTTAGAGCCAAAACGCGCGAAATTAGATTTCATTGTTACAAAACACATGATATCTCGTCGACGGCGGCCGCCAGGCGTACACAAGCAAGATCAAAATCGCGACGCCTATAAACCGCCTCGTGTGTTTTGGCGCTTACTCTTCTCTCTTTGTTCAGTACATTATACACGTATTGTACTCTTGTTACGTACGGAAATCCAGACACAAACCCGACCCTTGTCTGGAGGGTATTTTATGGTTTTTATTATATTTTTTAAGTGTTTAGTTTTATTTTTGTTTTTTTTTACTAATTTTATTAAGTTTAGTCTAAATAAATACTTGCTGCCAGCGACCTCATTATTTGACTCAAAATCTGGTCACTTTAATCTAACTTAATCTTTATACTGCGATTTAACCATCATATTAACAATTTGTGCTATTGAGCTAACAAATAGAATGTATTTTCATACCTCTAGACACCACAAGAAATATTGCATTCCGTTATTCTCCAGGAACTTTTTACAGTTTGAAGGTGTCTCGTCCGTGACGTTCCACATTGTCGACCATGCCACTTCCAATACATCATCGCAATAACCTCTTTCCAATCTCTCCGATATCAATGAAATCATTTTCTAAAAAAGTAAACAAACAATTTGAAATTTAATAAATAAAAAATCTTAGTATGGATTTATATACGTTTATAGCACCCAATTCGCCTAATCTGACTTTTTGGTATCCATCCACTTGACACGCCAAAGAATTTAATAGATATATTCCGATTCTCTGGACAAAACTTTCAGCTGTCATTCCATGGACCGAATATAGTAAGACATCCACCAATCTCTCATATTCAAAAAGCTAAAAAATATTTTTAAACAGTATTATACAATAATTGGAAAATAAAACCGCCTCAAAGTTGCCTTTGCAATAACAATCAATACTAATTTCTATCGAGCCGATCTGTATACCGGGTGTCCCAATATTTCGTGGACATAGTCCTATTACATATTTTTGGAATCAAAATAAGTTCATGGACAGGATTTATCTCTATATAAAAGTGCTTTGTTTGTTCGTCACATGGCATCAAACTTTAAAAAAATAATTTTTTAAGTTTTTAAGATACCCCACATTTTTTAAGATATTTTAAGAACCGTTATTCCGATTTTAATGAGATTTGGGGTACCTAAATTTTTCTAAGCGCTTTAACAATTGATTATCACAAAAATCAAGAAAAAATACGAAAAGAGTGAATACTGTCCCCACCGCTACATAAATTTAGTAGAAATATTTTCCAAGTTCACCGACGATTCATTTTTTTTTCGTAAAATAGTCCTTCTAGTATTTACTGCCATTTTGTCCTCTGTAAAAAATAGCCACCACGCATACTTTACGAGGATTTTTTTTCCAAAGCTGACTTACAAAAAATATTTCTTTTAGAACCAAGCTATGTAGGCCCATAAAATCTAGTATGCGATAATGATATAATTGGCGAACATATGTGAGTGTTATTTTAGTATCACAAATGATATTTGACAACAGGCTTCATAAATTTTAAATTAATTAACGTTCGGGTTGGTTAGGGTTTATTTTTGATTGATGCCGTCTAAGGCTAAAAACATAGTGGAGCGACGAGGAGAGCGGCGAGCAAGCAGCGCGACGTCGCGTCCAAAACAAACCTGTGAAGACAAGTACGCGTGAACATAGTAAAGCGATCTGCTCGCCGCTCTACTATGATTTAGCACCTCGAGGCTCGATCGACGCAATATCGCGCTGCTTGCTCGCCGCTCTCCTCGTCGCGCCACTATGTTTTTAGCCTAACGGAAAAAAGAGGATTTTTTTATAGATGTAAATTGTGAACAATTAAAATATTTTGATTCAAAAAATACGTAGTTGTTCTATGTCCACGGAATATTGGAACTCCTTGCATATTTGGTAGGTCTACTTTGGAAAAAAAATTTAACGTTTTTTTGTTAAAGCGATGTGGTGTGTTTTACAAGAGACAAAAATTGGCGCCGGGAGGCACGTATAGCCGCCCATACTAAAATATGTAAATATGTTAATAAAAAGCTGGTAGGCAGTTCTTTTAGTTTCAAAGTAAAGGAATTTTTCCAATTTTGGTCCGCCCATCTTCGCCCCAGATGGCGGGGCGCGTCCGATGGGAGAACGGACTACGGAAACACGGAATATCTCAAAAACTGCGACTCTGACGGATTTTGATGTTATTACAAATTTTGTTGCAAATATTATTCCTAATCTTAAATTGAAAACCGCGTTTCGCTAGCTACTGTAATTTTGGAGTTACGATTTTTTTAAATTTTTAACCCCCTCCCATACCCCCTTAGCAACCACCCCACCCCCACCAAAAACTAATGGCCAGATTCTCGGGTGCCACAGTATTTTTGTGCCAAATTTGGTTAAAATCGGTTTAGCGGTTTTTGAGTTATCGTGTTACAGACGGACAGACAGACAGACACCATGAAAATATTTTGTATTTAGGTTATTTATGACCCAAATAACTCATTTTGAGTGACATTCGAACGGGCATTCGAATAAAAACGGCGTCAGCGATGGCTATGAGATGACGATCGATGACATTTCCCATATAATTTTACATATAACATGACAGCGATCTTCATTTCATAGCCATCGCTGACGCCGCTTTTATTCGATCATACGGTAGTGCTCAAATATGCTTATAAGGGTACGTTTTTTTTCGATCGTATGATACATGTAACACCACCCTAGTATATTTCAAATAAAGTTTCAAAAAAATAAATACAATAATAATTTAATTTTAAATTTGTTACATCATCAATATGTTTGCTTACCACATCTAAAGGTATTTTAAATTGACACAAAGTCAAACAACCATTACGCATCATTGTTTCATCATTCCTATGTATACTCATACCATTAAGAAGCGTTGATATAATTTTTCTTTTAACATGTACGGCATCATGCAATTCTCTGTCTGTTCCTTTTACTATATAAAACAGTGTTGCACTGCAAATTTTCAATGTAATATAAATAAGGTGGAATATTTACAATAAATATTACATACCTTCCTGAAATTTGTATATGCCTTTCATGAAGGTGTCTGTTCATTGATTCCAACACCACATTTAAAGCTTGTCCTATATATTGGCACGTCTCAAAACGAAATAAATGGAATAGTTCATTTAAAACTTTTTGTAACATCTCTGTTCGTTCCATATAGGCTAGAGCAGATATTAAAATTTGCTCTTCGTTAGCATTTCCTGCAACCTAGATAATATTTTAGAATTAAATCAGTTCAAGTCTAAAAAATTATTTACCAATTCAGCTGGTATATCATGTCTTAAACAAGCATCATGAGAGGTTTCATATAAACCCAAAAAATGAAAAGGGTTGTTTACTCTTGACTCTAGTCCTGTTATATCCGACCCTCTTGACTTTACTGTTTCTGCTATACCTGTACCAGCCAAATTCGTTCCAGATATATCCAGAGATGTTAAATGAAACAGCTCTGTTACTATTGTTTGTAGTGTAAGTGTAGGTAGAGGAAATTTTCTATTTTCATCTTTGCTCTGCGATATATCTAAGTGTGTCAACGCTTTAAGCTTACAAATAGATGGTATCATCAAATCTATACCATTCACATTGTACAATATCAGACTGCGTAAATTTTCTAGATGTTCTGAATACTCAAATCTGCCTAGACTACTGCAATTACTTAAATCTAAGTATGTCAAATTAGTTATTGGGTTTAAAAGTAGGGTATAAAACTGTGGAGATAATCCTTGACAACATCTTAACGTTAATCTACGTAAATTTAGAGCCAGAAAGATGTAGTTTTGTTTCAATTGACTTAAAACGCCGAAAACAGATTGGGGGAAAACTTTCACTTCTTCTCCGATATTTAATGAGATCAAACTTGACCCATAAGATGTTATATGTCGAAGACAATTATGGGTAAGATCTTTACTGTGAGCTAACTCTAGCTCTACTAACTGATGACTTAACAACACTTTTAAATCGTGATCTTGTATATCGCTTTTACGCAAGCGAACTCTTTTTAATCTAGTGTTTTTAACATCTTTAAAAATATTAATAAAATGAGAGTCTACAATGCACAAACTTTGATAGCGCACATTCAACAGTCTTTCACAAATTTCCACGGGTAATGATATACCATCTTTTAGTTTCAAGTTGCCTGAGTAACCGGTATATTCACAAATCGAATCGAGGTTTTTATCGATATAGTTGAAGCATATATCAATCAGCTTTTCAGGGGCAGAGGAGTTACAGAAACAACAGGCATCTGCTGGTATAACGGCGGAGTGTCGACATATGCTTTGGGGCATCTGGAAATTGGGTAAATAGGTAATCAGTAAAATAAATGTTTACTACTGATCGAATTTACATACCTTTACGTTTTTATTTTGATATTATCATGACACCGACGTATCTAAAATATCAGTATGAATAGATTATGGCTATTATTGCAAAATATGTGCTAAACGTTCATTATTATAAATATATTGAAATTCCAGATGTTTTGGCAAAACTATTTTTGTTGTGAGAAGATATGACATTTCTGATATTTTTGACAATTCACAATCTATCAGCTGATTTTGACATTTGTAGAGGTCATTCAAATAAAGAGGTGTATTGTATATTTCTCTGAGATACTTTTTAATTTTATAATTCTGTGTTTATAATTCTTTTATCACAGAAAACATATCATTAAATCTTTTGTATCTTAAATTATTTTAATAATATAATAGTGAAAAAGTTTTATGGAAACAATCGTTTTTTGTCGTTTCAGATAAACATAATATTTGAAATTGATGCTTTAACACAGATACTGTTTCATTAAAAACAATTCTATTTTAAACGTTATTGTGATACATAGAACATGGCGTATAAAGCAAGGTATCTATTTGAATAATATTTTGTTCAATAAAGTAAGTTTATTAATATTTTTCAGGCTTAAAGAATTTGATTCAGTTCTCAGTCAGAATGTTATAAACATAACCATATTGAAGTCATTAACATTTCATGGTAAGTTTTATCAGTTTCTAGCAGAGGTTTCTAGCGAATAAGAACAAAGTATGCCAGCTGTGTTGAAGTAAATTTTCTATCCATTTAATTACCTATATGATTCCTATTTTTTTTCTCTCTAAAAGGTATCCCTGATGATCAAGGTAAAAGAGCTCTCTGTTGGAAACTCTTATTAAATTATTTACCTTTGGAAAGAGAAAAATGGACTGATTTTTTAGAGGAAAAAAGAAAATTATACAAACAATTTATAGGTAATTTATTCCTCTTAATTTACATTAAAACTTTTAATTCTTAAAAATTCTCAGATGAAATGATTGTGATGCCGGGTGAAAACGAAGCTAATGGAGATGTAACTTTTGGAGACCATCCTTTAAGCATTAACCCAGATAGTCAGTGGTCCACCTATTTTAAAGATAACGAAGTTTTATTACAAATAGATAAAGATGTTAGAAGGTAACATTTGTAATAAAGAATTTATTTATTATACCATGATTAAAACTCGTAGACTATGTCCAGATATATCGTTCTTTCAACAACCTACAGATTTTCCTTGCGAAGAAATAGTGAATAGTAACGAAGTCAAAAGATTGCATACAAGAGTACAAAGAAGAGTTTTAAACTGTGCCAATGTTGAAAGAAAAGGTTTGGGTATTACCAAGGTGAGAAATTATTCATATAGTATAATCACTTTTTTTTAACCAAAGACCACAAAACTCTGTTTCTCTTACATGCAACTTATTTTAGTAGCAGGTAAATTTGTACTTTTCACTAATTGTAGTGAGTATCATCTGTTTTATGCAATGGTAATTGTATCTTTTATATGTGTGTATAGATAGCACTTTTGGTTAAAAAAGCTAACGAGGATTATGCACCAATGGCTGAAGGCAAAGAAGCTCACTGGGAAGTTGTAGAAAGAATCTTATTTTTATATGCCAAAATGAACCCAGGACAAGGATATGTTCAAGGAATGAACGAAATAATTGGACCTATATATCATGCTTTTGCCTCAGATCCTGATATATCATTTAGAGGTAATAGAGGTGTAGGAAAATCAATAAAAGTTAGCATGCATATCATCAAAGTATTTGACGAATGCGCGTTGCAATGTTGCCATGACCTTCTTTTACTTTGACTTGTGACAAGTAGTGTCAAAAAAAAATTGTAATTGTATCACTGATATTTCACTTTAATTTCAGACACCACACATATAAAACTATTTTTTAATCTACATAATAATAACACACAATAACACATAACACAAACCAATTTTAACTGAAAGAAGTTATTAGCAAGTGTTCTCAGTGAATACTGAAAACTGTAATGTTCTAATTGCTTAACGTTAATCTTTACTTTTTGTGAGATCCTACTCAGTCTGTAAACTGATATACCAATTTGGTCATTTTAGAAGTGTGGTCTGGATTTTAACGTGTAAGACAGAATAATATAAATGACTGGTTGCTGGTTGACAGGCAGAGAGACAAAATCAAAAGCGGCATACAGTGTTGCCGGTTTTTACGTTTGTAGGAAAATTTGTATAGAAAAAAAAATAAACTATTTTAAAAACTTTCATGTATACTTCTGAAATGAAGATAATATATCTAAGCTAAATATAATCTATTACATCTGTAGTAAAATGAAATAACTAATTGTGAAAAATAAGGTTCCAACCCTAGATGCAACATTTCCATAAACGCCTACTTGTGCGGTTTGAACTTTTGATGCAAAATCCGGCAATACCGCATAGAAGAAATGTATCGACCATGGTATCAACCCAACTTTTATCTCGTTTTAATACATTTGTTTTTCCATTAAGCTGCCTACATCACTGTCTTATACGTTAAAATCCAGGCCACACTTCTAAAAGGACCAAATTGGTAGGTATATGAACAAAATGCAGATTTCAAATGTGCCAATAAATCTCAAATAAAATTGAAAATCACAAATGTCAGATTAGAAAAAAATAATAAAATCGAAAGCAATAAATATAAAAAATCTCTTAACAATTTTTGCCATGACCACCACAGATTTATGAAGTTATGACCACCAACATAACAGCTTTTTTTATCAGCCAGTTCCTTTAACTTCGTTCCTTTTACTTGATGCGTGCTGTATTTTTTAAACCAGGATATAAGACTATAAGAAAAAGGAAAAAGTGCGGTCTAAAGCTCCATTCAGAACCTTGAAATTAGTGGAATAAATTAATGGTTTCAATTATACTTTTTACTTAAGAATTTACGATCATTCACAATGTATTAAAAAATACAATTAAAATTAATAAAATATCTTAGAAACAGCTTGCGTTAAGGTGTGATTCCCTTTTTCATGATAATTTGACGTTTCGTGCAGTATGAGACTCCATTATGTCGTCTATATTCAGTGACCTGTGCCAGACACGGTCAAGTTAGCCTTGGTCCAATCTATCAACATACTTAATTTCATTTAAATCAGACGAATTTTTCGCCATTATGGCACCCTCTGTATTTTTTACTATATTCGGTAGAAAATAACACTCTGAATAGAATGGCATATCATATGTCAACTTTTGACATTTTCGCATATGGTTTATTTTAAATTATAACTTGCGGTTTGTAACGAAAATTTGACTTGAAATACCAAGTGTGTGGTATCAAATTATTCATAAAAACATGCTTTTTCCAAATATGCTAATGAGCCACCCGCGTTCCATTTGAAAAAATTAAAATACGATTTGAGCATTTTCTAACTGGCCAGGACAAGACACTAAAAACATTAGACTATCAAATTTATTTTTCCAAGGCTCCTTGCTTAAGAATTCGTGTTTTTAATATAGCCGTGGCACTGTAGATTGAATTTTAAAATTCGGTTTTTTATTAAGCGAGAATGCCAAAAGTGGACATATGATATGTGATTCTGTTCAGAAATGTCATTTTCTATCGAATAAAGTAAAAAAATACCGAGGGTGCCATTTAAAAATCAAAAGTTGTAGTAATTTCTGGTAAAACAGGAAGTGACCAAAAACAATTGAATGCGTCAATCAATCCTAATTTATGTCATATAGTAACATACCAAATATCGTTTCTTTATCTGAAAAAGTAAAAAAGTTATTATAGGGGTGAGCCACTTTTGAGACGCACCCGGTATATACCTGCCCCGCTGGGAGCAGGATCAGGTTTGGCAGAGTGTTTGGCAAAACCTATGGGCAACACCATGCTAGACCTATCACTGTCGGACATATCAGCTTATGTTAAAAGATTGGGTCTTGAGGGGTGAACTTCTTTTTCTGTATAAAGAGTTTGTAGTACTGGGCCACATAGGCCCTCGCGGCAGCAGTGGTGTTAGTAAATACAGTACAAATACAATGTGAGCGACGGTGCACACGGTCCCACCCTGCAAAGTTGGATGCGACGTTTCGTTTACATCTTCATCAGGGTGGGTGGACAGACGGACAGAGAGAAGTTTCACTTCAAATATGTGCACATAGTAAACACAATTTTTTTGTTTTATAAGTTAAGTATTAGGATACAACTGTTGCTAATGTATTCTATTAATTTTAATTGTATTTTTTAGACACTTTGAATGATCATAAACTAAAAAGTACCGTATGATCGAATAAAAACGGCGTCAGCGATGGCTATGAAATGAAGATCGCTGTCATTTTATATGTAAATTTATATGGGAAAATGTCATCGATCGTCATTTCCCAGCCAACTGGACGTCGTTTTTTTTCGATCATACGGTATAAATTATTAGTAATAGTCTCGACGTCTTTGATGACATAACAGTGGCGTGCAAACTTTTATTGATTTCTCTATAGATCAAATGTTATAATTCACGAAGCTAGAATTTTTTAGAATTTTTTTAGAATTTAGAATGAGTGGGAGGGGGGTTAATCACTTCGACCTTACAGATCCATTGTGTCCCCCTTTCTTGAATCATAACTCATCATACAGTCCCAGGGCTTTGACAAAAGCCAGTATCTGGGACGGTTTTATAGAGGGTAGTTCTCCATCTCCAATATCAGTCGTACCAAAATTCATGGCACGAATGGTTGTCGTCTTGGGTCACTCAGTGATGAGGTGTACTGGTGTTACCCCATCTTCCCCACAGAATCTGCATTCGCCGTTTCTTCTTAGTTTCAATCTACTGAGGTGTTCATTGAGGAGACAGTGCCCTGTTAAAAACCCCGTGACAATCCGAAGATTGTTCTTACTCAGACCCAGGAAGGTCTGTGATTTTTCTTGATCATAAGCCCTCAGAAACTTCTTCGAGTGTCTTAGACCATTGCAAGATTTCCATTCCAGGTTGCGGATGGAATCTTCCAAGTTCTTTAGTTCCGCCTTGAGTTGGTTACCACTTGGAAAGCAGAACGGTTCTGGTCCACTTAGTGGAGTGTTCGCTCCTTTCCTAGCTAGATTATTTGCTTTTTCATTGCCTTCTATCCCTTGGTGAGCAGGCACCCAGTGTAGGAGGACTTTGTTTTCTTTGCCTAATTTATTCAGCTTCTCTATGCATTCTTTGACCAATTTCAAATCGATTGATACTGAGTTGATCGCCTTTAACGCTGCTTGACTATCAGATAAGATGGCTATTTCTTGTTTCCGATAGTTCCTATCTAAGATAAGTTGTACGCATCTCTCGATAGCGTAGATTTCTGCCTGTAGGATACTAGGGTAAGTGCCCATTGGTTCGGAGTAATTAGCTCTCGGCGCAAACACTCCGATCCCTGTTCCCGTATTGGTTTTGGAAGCATCAGTATACCAAGTTATGGTATGGTCTTTTAACTGCTGGGCAAGCGTTTCGCTCTTCCAATCCTTCTTGTTGCTCAATACTACATTGACATGTTTGTCAAAGTTGTACGTTCTTGGCATATCGTCCACTGGGAGTTGCAGGAGTGGTATTTCCTATTTGAGAGTGTTCCAAGCCCCTGATCTGACAATTCTCCCAGTACTAATTCCGTTAGTGATCATTCTAATCATTGTCGCATTGGCATATCTACCAATGACAATGTGCAGTGGTGTTAGATCTAGAATGACCTCCATTGCTGCTGTTGGACAGGTTCTCATGGCTCCTGTGATGCAAACACATGCTAGTCTCTGGACTTTGCATAGGTTTAGCCTTGCCATCCGTTGCTCTAGTTTTGTGTACCAGGCAACTGCTCCATAAGTAATCATGGGTCTTACTATCATGGTATACATCCAGCGCAAAATGTTAGGGGAGCAGCCCCATCTATTTCCGGCCAGTCTTCTGCATATCATGAGAGCCTTTATGGCTTTGCTGGTAGTGTTCTTAATATGCCTGTTCCACAGGAGTTTACTGTCCAGGGTTATTCCCAGGTATTTAACTTCCTGTGTTGGCAGTATTTCCTTTCCATCTAGTTGGATTCTTTTCAAGTTTTTCAGACTTCGCCTTCTGGTGAATGGCACTATCGCGGTTTTGTCTGAGTTGATACTCAGCCCGACAGTCCTACACCATCTCTCAGTGATACGGAGTCCTCTTTGGATAATATCACACAAGGTGCCTTCATGTTTCCCCCGAGCGATCATGACTATGTCATCTGCATACCCAATGCAGTGTATTCCCGCTAGAGTTAATTCATCTAGTAGTTCATCCACCACCAAGCTCCACAGCAAAGGGGAGGTTACTCCACCTTGTGGAGTTCCTTGCGTTGTTTTAACAGCTACAGTTTTGGTGCCCATCTGAGCCTCTGCTGTTCGTGTTGACAGCATTTCCCAAAACCAGCGAATAATAGTTCTGTTCACCCCTCTTGTTTCTAGAGATCGCCTGACCACCTTATGTGGTATATTGTCAAACGCCCCCGCAATATCCAAGAAGGCACAAATTGCTGTTTCTTTGCTATCCAGACTTGTCTGTATTAGCTCCGTTAATTGGTACAGAGCAGTTTCTGTGGATCTGCCCGTTCTATATGCATGCTGACTATCATGCAGTGGTTTAACCTTTAGATGATTTTCTCCAATATGGTTGTCAACTACTTTCTCCAGCGTTTTTAGTATGAACGATGTGAGACAAATAGGCCTAAATGACTTGGGATTTGTCCAGTCAGTTTTGCCTATTTTGGGTATGAAGATTACTTTTGCTCTTCTCCATGTGGTTGGTATATATCCCATCGCTAGACTGCTTCTTGTAATGCTTAGTAGATGGTGAGTAGCTATTTGCTGACCCTCCTTTAGAAGGGCAGGAAAGATCCCATCCACTCCTGCTGCTTTATAGGGCTGAAAGGTGTCGATCGCCCATTTCAGCTTTTGTTCTGTTATTACTAGCTTGGCCACTTCCCGATCTTCCCTGCAAGGATTGTGGGGTTCAGTGGGAGCTACATAAGTATCAATAGGTATGCTACCTGGAAAGTGTGTATAAAGTAGGAGATTTGCTTTCTCTTCCTCTCCCTCCGTGTAGCTTCCGTCCGATTTCTTAAGTGCCATGTTGGGGATAGATCCACTCTTGGCCATAGCTTTGTGTAATCTAGCTGCATCAGGAGTAGAAGTGATGTTTTCGCAAAAGGATCTAAAGTCAGACCGCTTTGCCCTTCTTATCTCCTTCTTATACTCAGTTAATTAATCGCTGTAGAGCTGCCATTCGCCACTGGATTTAGTTCTATTAAAGAGTCGTCGGACCTCCGATCTAAGTTTGGCCAACTTCTTGTTCCACCAGGGCTTGTTGTTACTTTTTGTATGCCTTTACTTGCGGGGCAACTAGATTCATATGCATCCAATATTGCACCGCTGACTTCCCTTGCGTACCATTCTAGATGCAGATGGTTTCTGGCCCTACTTGCATCTATACGGTTTAGGTTGTCTACGAGATTGGTGTTATACATGTCCCAGTCTGTTTTTCTTGGATTCCTTCAAGTTTCTGTTTGGAGTGTGATTCCTCCTAATTTGAACTCGATGATTCTGTGATCTGATAGGGAGGGTTCCGTTGAGACCCTCCATTGTTTCACGTAACTGATTACACCAGCACTCCCGATTGTTAAATCTAACACTTCTGCCCGCGTTTTTGTCACAAACGTGGGGCTGTTCCCTACATTGAGAACTTCAAGATTGCATGCTAAGAGGAATTCAAGTAAACACTCACCTCTAGTGTTAGTGTTAGTGCTTCCCCATACCTCATTGTGTGTATTGGAGTCGCATCCCAATAGCAGAGGTAGTCGCCGTTGGCTGCAGAATCGCACGAGCTCCCGTACCTCCGGAGGCGGTGCCTCCCCGTCACCCGGAAAGTAAGCAGAGGCAATCACGATGTTTTTACTACAATCCTCGATATTAAGCTGAACCATGATAGGAACAAGATCTCGGGTTGTAAATTCTGAAACACATGTGTAGTTAATGTCCTTTCTTATAAGAATACAGGCTCGGGGAAATTCCTGCCTGTTATCATATACTACCTTTGAATTTTTTCCAGACAAACCTCTAATTTGTCCCTGATACACCCAGGGTTCCTGGGCTAGTACCATTGCATAATGATTTTTCTCAAAGAGTCTTGCTATTGTAGCGGAAGACCTTTTTGCATGGTGAAGGTTTATTTGGGATATCCCATGCATTGGGGGGGTGGGGGGGAGGAAGAAAGGATGTTGGGTTTAGAGGTTCACGAAGTTCTTCACGAAGCTAATTAAATATTATAAATTTTAGAATTTGCGGAGGCTGATAGCTTTTTTTGTTTTACAAATTTAATGTCTGAAATACGTGATTTCTTCATAAAAAGTCTAGATGAAACAGATCATGGTATAAATAAAATGATGAGCAGAATGTTGACTCAATTAAAAAATAATGATCTTGATGTCTGGCTGAGATTCCAACAAATGGATTTAAAACCTCAATATTATAGTTTTAGGTAATATTCAGAAAATATTAAAACAGTACCATAATGCTTACGTATTATTTTTTAGGTGGATTACATTATTATTGTCACAAGAGTTTCCCTTACCAGATGTTTTGAGGATATGGGATTCACTTTTTTCTGATGAAAACCGTTTCAGTTTTCTCATTTATGTTTGCTGTGCAATGATTGTGTAAGTTCTCATTTGATTGAACAAAATTCTCAGTTAATGAAGGTATTAATTGCAGTATATTAAGAAATCAACTGTTGGAGGGAGATTTTTCCTCAAACATTAAATTACTACAGAATTTTCCTCCGATGGATGTTCAAATTATTTTGTCTAAAGCTGTTGAATTGTCTCGAAAAAAGTTCTGATATTTACCTAAAAACACCATTGATTGATTTTTACACCAACACCATTGATAAATTATTTAGACTCATTACTCAATTTTAGAAAGGCTCATAATATACGTAATATCAATCTGTAAGTGTATATTTACTTTAATTTTAGGTATTAAAATATGATTTATTACTTTTTATATTTGTAAATATATGCAATTATATTTTTCTATTAAAAACAACATATTTTATTTAAAATTGATAATTTCAAACGTTCAGGTAACCATTTAAAATTATTAGTTACTGTGCGTTACTGTTTTTATTATAATTCGCCACTGCTTCTTGCGCTTTTGATAGATTTAAATTTGATTTTCCAGCTTGTGATCTGATCTCTTCCTCAACAGCCTTATTTACAGTCTTTGTAATTATCTGCTTAAGTTTATGGGCCTCTTGAAAGCCCTGTTTCTTTGGCTTAATAGGAGCATCTACAAATAGCTTGAAATTAAATAATACCGGTGCTTGTCAGATATAACACCCTCCGAATTTGGCATTTATTTATATATCAGTCTAAAGCATACATTTAAATAAGAATTTTAAGCAAAAAAAAATTGCGGATGAACCACAATTTATTGAAAAATAAATAAATTAAAAGTGCATTTTTAGATTATGGTGAAGGTGTATAAGCGTGTAATTATTGTAAAATATGACGATTATACGCATTTTTCTATTAATATAAAGGTCAGAATTAATCATTGAGAAGCATTAATAAGTCATAAATCAAAAATAGAGTTGGTGATAACTTTTGTAATATTTGCCTGATCGATTTACTCTTTCGATTCAAACTTGCCGCCGGAGCCGTCTGTCATCATTTGTTGTTAAGGATGTAAGCTGCGTAAGCATTGTTGCCAAAGTTATTTTTTCTTTGTATGATACCTTTGTAGGATACATCATACATCCGTATGATCGAAAAAAAACGGCGTCCAGTTGGCTTGGAAATGACGATCGATGACATTCCCCATATAATTTTACATATAAAATGACAGCGAATGTTCATTACATAGCCATGGCTGGCGCCGTTTTTTTCGATCATACGGTACGTTACATGATACAAAAAAAGAGTTGAAACCGAAAGAGTTTTGATTGCGCTGGTTTCAACCTTTTCGTGAGTGTGTTAATCTTTTGTTATGTTTTTTTTTTATTTTAATACGAATCTGATTGCTTTCACTTGATTTTACGTGCCGGTCGCCGGACGAACAAATCCTTATACAGTAGCGCTGTCACGATAAGAACAGATTATAAGTTATTTTAAAATCAAGACATTGAAAGCACTTAGATTCGTATTAAAATATAAAAAAAAACAACAGATTAACCCCCAAAGAAGTTGAAACCAACGCAATCAAAACTCTTTCGTGCAACTTTGTAGTTATAAATAGTCAGATCTCGTAGGTAAAATATGAGCTATGGGTAGGAGCAGTTCCTCAGGCGATCGCCTTTTCTTGATTTTAAAATAATTTATAATCTGTTCTTAACGCGAGTTTTCTTCCGACCAGCACGTGTTTTTTTAATGAACCTTTCAAGAAGAAATGAATGAATCTGACAACGCCGACAAAATTTGGAGAAGTTTTTGCATAAAAAGTAGCCTGTTGTAGCAATAATTAGATGTTTATTTTTTCATTAAATTATGGATCATCCACACTTTTTTTTGGCTTGAAATACTTATTTCGATGTATGCTTTCGAGTGATATAAAAAAAAGTACAAAATTCGGAGGGTGTTATATCTGACAAGCACCAATAATACCAATTTATATTTTAAATACGTACTAGATCTCTTTGTTGTCGCGGGACCTCTTTTCTTGTGTTTTTTTACGTTTGTTGGTAATTTTGCTTTAACTTTCAATTTTCCTTGTGCCATTTTAAATTTTTGTGTTAATAGTTAAAAAAACTAACCTCTTAAAATTTAAAATGGTGAAAAAAGTACACTTCATAAAAAAAAGTAAAAAATCTAAGTTTATATATGTTATTTTCTATGGGTATATTTTTCATCATATATAATTTCGTGTCATATAAGGAAGAAATCTCAATATGATTTGAAATACATATAAAATATTTGATGACGTTATGACATATTCCAGCAACTAGTAAAACTTTTATTTCATTTTGGTAACCAATTAGCAAATACATTTAAATTTATTGCCAATTAGTAACCAATGTTGGTAACCATAGTTGGTAACAATGGGCACATCCTTGGATCAGTGCCTTCTATTAAAAGATCAGCCTACGGGCGGACTTTTGTTTACTTCATCAGCTGTACATACTTAGATATTGGGTTAGATTCTGTATTCATATTTTGTCGGTTGATTTTTAGTATTATTTGTTATTGTAGTGTGAACCACTAATTATTTTGGTGTTTAAGTGACATAAAGTACTACCAGATATATGGTCGCTATGATGGTCACATGTTTCATCTTAATGTCACGAAATATTACACGTTTTGTTAAGTGCTTTAACCTAAAAGTGCCCATAAATTTTTTATTTATGGTGATTTTTGTGTGTGTTTTTAAGACTCTAACAATTCATCAATAAAGCTTAAGTGGAGTGTGTTTTTGGTGCTTTGGCTCATCTTTGTTGTGTTTGGTTTGGTGGAAAGGATAGTTATACTAGGCAGCTTAAAATATCCGGAAGAGCAAGAAAAGTGGGTACGAAGTTATAAATCAAGACAATTCTATTGAAAATCTTTAATAAATTTAAAAATAATATTCTCCCAGGATGGTATTAAAGAAAACTGGACAATTATCAGGTTTATTTTATTCATATTGTGGAATCTCCACCCAAGTGTTGTTGGTTCAGCATTATCCATAGATTAAAACACGTAAGATAAACACGTAAGTAGGTATTATGATCTACCCAAAATAAAGAATATGTGTATTAAAGATCATGATAAAATTTTATTATTTTGAGTTCAAAATTAAAAAGCATTTTTGTAAAGACAAGAATGATAAAGTTGCAAAAGAAGAATGTGTTTTGTTTGATAATATAATGTATGTAAAGCATAACATATATTTGTTCAGTAATTTTTACTGAATAGTGTTGATTATTTATAATACCAAATTAATATAAAATATTTAAGTGATGGCTGAATACAATATGAATAAAATAACAATAAAATTGGTATATTTGCAATACAAAATTAAGTTTTAAGAATAAAGGTGTTACAAAAATATACTAAGAAATTCATATTTCTTTGTTTTAATTGGTCTAATGTTATTTAAACATTTTACGTAAGAATTATACCGTATCATCGAAAAAATCGGCGTCTAGTTGGCTTGAAATAAACATCGTGATATTCCCTAAATAATATGTACACATAAATAATTAACTAGAAGTTTTACAATCTTGAAAATTTGATATTCTTGAACCTTGATTCTAAATGATTTTAAATTTTTTGATTTTCTTGTTCTTTAGGTTCGGTGAAAACGCTGATTGATTTCATTTGGTTTTTCGTTATTTTATTTGGTTTAAAAACGGTTCTTAGACTGATTATAGCCTCCATCAGTGTTGTGTCATATTAAAAAATAGGTCGAATATAATCCAAAAAATTGCATATAAAATATTTACCTCAAGCACATAATGTTTACTGCGGAAATTATAGTCAATGTAGATAATTTTAGTGTTCAGAATAATAATTAAAAAAAATATGTGGTCATCTTTGATAAGTTTATATTAGTTTATTAATTGCAGTAAACATTATGAGGTGTGAATTATATTGTATATGTAATTTTTGGATTATATTTGACACTACTTTTCTTATATGACACAAAGTTAGCCAAAACGTTTTTTTTAAACCAAATAAAAATAATGAAAACCCAAATGAAAACTTAAACAACGTTTTTCCCTAACCTAAAAATCCCAAGAAAATCAAAAATTTTAAACACCGAATGACAAAAATGCCATGCATGGATCTTCAGGGTTTTCATAACGCATCGTCTGACAAAATTTTTTAGATAATATTGTATTATTTGTAAATATAATTTTCGAACATTGATTTTTAATAGGAAATATACTTATAAATTTTGTGAATGCAAATAATAATACATCACTATTAGTAGATATTAAATGTTTTTTGTGAAATTAGACATTTTTCAAACCCCAAAATTAAAAAAATATATTTACATTTTACCCATTATCTTATGTACCTATACATTACTTGTACAAAATAAATACATTTGCTTTATTTGTATGGTTCATAGTTTATTTGACAAAGTATTTATTACTATAAATAGGTATATATGTTGCTAGTTATTAACTGTATATTATGTATAATTTTAGCTCCGACCGTATGTCGGATAACTATGAAGACATACGTTCAGTATTTCTTCGAATTGTCTTGCTTAAGTTAGAAAGAGAGCGTATAAAAGGGAATTGATTTGATGTTAATCATAGTTTTGTGACGTGCACGCAAAGATCCGTTGACCCAACTGTATATGTTAGTTCATTATATCATATTTCAAGATATATCATTTTTAAAATACAAACCAAAAATCTGAGGAATAATTATGTTTTCCATGTATTCTACAACATATTTATTAATCCGTTATATCTAAGTAGCGTGACGTCATAAATCTCGCCCGTAGGCTGATCTTTTAATAGAAGGCACTGCTTGGATGCTTGGATAACATCTGTCACATCTGTATGTCGAAAAATGTCATTTTTTGTAGAGAATGTTTTCAATGTTTTATTTTGAAAACAAAAATGCATAATATATTTATTAAACAAAAAGTATTATATAAAAATGGCTCGTAACATAGAAATATTAATAATAATAGTTACAATAATAGGTATAATATTCTTTTTATTAATTAACGTATGGATTTTGAATATAAGCATAGTGCAAGACCCACCAGAAAATTTTATTTGGGTTATACATGGATTGCGGAATGTATTAGGATATGGAACTATTTTTATTCCGGGCTACGTAATATATAAATACGTAATTAGGACCAATTATTTAAATAAAAGTGGAAGAGGTCCGATTGGAGGTATAATGCGAACATGTTTTGGTGAAGATGAGTTATTGCTGGTAAATCCAAATATACATGGCTCTAAAACATCTAGAACCGTTTTTCAAGATGCCGTTTTGTTATTATTTTATTTCTTTGGCCTACAAATTTCGTATTTGTCTTGGGGAGTGCTTCAAGAAAAAGTAATGACACAAAAGTACGAGAATTCCAATGGAGAAGAAGGTATTTTTAAGGACTCACAGTTCTTAGTGTTTGTAAATAGAATTTTGGCTTTTGCAATGTCAGCTGTAGTGTTAATATGTACCAGACAGCCCAGGCATAGATGTCCTTTATATAAATACGTATTTTGCTCATTCTCAAATATCATGAGTTCTTGGTGCCAGTATGAAGCTTTAAAATATGTCTCGTTCCCCCATCAAGTGTTAGCCAAAGCAAGCAAAACTATTCCTGTGATGATAATGGGTAAAATCATTTCCAAAACCAAATACGAATTTTATGAATATGTGACTGCTGTTATCCTGTCTGTGGGAATGTTATTTTTTATGTTAGATTCTGGGAATGATAGAGCCACAAGCACGGTGACAACATTTAGTGGAGTTATTTTGTTATGCTCCTACATAGCTTTTGACAGTTTTACCTCAAATTGGCAAGGGAAATTATTTAAAACTTATGAAATGAAACCCATACAAATGATGTGTTTTGTAAACTTTTTTTCATGTATTTTTACACTAGTGTCTTTACTACAACATGGAGGTCTTTTAGAATCATTTAAGTTTATGTTTGCCTATCCACAATTCATAGTTGACGTAACTATTCTGTCAGTTTGCTCAGCTTCGGGACAAATGTTTATATTTTGTACAATAGATACATTTGGTCCTTTAGTATTTGTAATCATAAGCACAATCAGGCAGTGTCTATCTGTGTTATTAAGTTGTATAATTTACCATCATCAAGTAAATATTATCGGAGGAGTAGGATTGTTTTTGGTGTTCTTTAGTATACTGTTAAAAATTTATTGTGGGTACAGAATTAAAATGATCAAATTGCAAAATTCAAACCTCATAAAAAACTAACACAGGTAATTTTAAGAATAGAGATTTGAATAGTTTCTAATTAGATTTTGAATAAACAAAGCTTTAAGATTGTCAGAAAACTATTAAGTTTACAATACATTTTTATTTTACTTTTTCATATTTATAATTATCTGTACATATTGAGAAATATACAATATATATGAAACTTATTTTTATTTTTGTATGTCCCATTTAATACCCCGTCTACACACCATTTTACATGTTCTGTTACTTGTTCAGTCAAAGCGTATCAAGTAAAACACTGTGTATGGTGTGTATACACTAGTTTTTAATCCGTCTTATTTCACATATTTTTTTTGGGGATGAGGGGAAAAATCTTGCATAAGACACCGTTGGGTATTGTCAGATTCCTACCGACTAAAAAAGCCTCCTCGCATTCCATTCCAACTCCATGCTCTGTTCAGCTGGAAACCGCTTGTGCATTACTTCAGCTGGAAGGCTGTCTTTGCGGTATGGCTCCCCATTCTATTTTCTTTAGTTTGTATTATTTCTCGAATGCATCTATATGTAATTTTCCATGTTTCACCGCTTTGCATAATATTTTTAGCATTAAAGACTTAATACTTGTCCACTGTCCCATTGGAATAGCTCTCTAAACTGCTTCCATTCATTGCAGAGGTATAGTGTGTGTTCGGCAATGTGAACTTCCTTGCAATACATACACAAATATGAGGTGGATATCTCCCTTTTATGAAAATAGTTGTTAAAGCATCTGTGCCCTGTCAATGCCTGAGTTTAAAAAGTAGTCTGTAACTCCAAAGCTTCTGTCCACCAGGTATTAATGTCTGGTATGAGATCATGTGTCTATCTACAATATCTATCTAAATCCCACGATCCCACTCCTTTTGCCATTCATTCATCAGTATGCTTGTGAGTATGCTTCTTGCCTCCAGTTTTGGTGTCCCAATCATCAATAAGAGGGTCCAAAGCCTACTAGATAAAAGTGGCGAATTTTAAAAATTCTGTATTTCGAAGGGGAGTATAACAAAATATCAAGTGTGCTGTATTTTTGGAAAGGTAATTTTATGTTCTTTTGAGATCTGAGATCATTAGAAATATACAGGGTGTCCGAAATAAAAAATAATTTTTTCTGTTGATAATTCTTAAATTATTAATTTTAAAAAATTATACTTAAACCATTAAATTCTACGTAAAAAGGTGCTTTGGGAATGTTTTCATAAAAATACAAAATTTTCCATAGCAAGAAAATTACAGCGATTTGTTAAAAATGTACATTTTTGAAAAACACCCTGTAACTCCGAAACGGTAACAGATATCGATGTGCGGTTTTCACCATCATGTTTTCGATAAAAATTGAGCTCCTGTCACCGATATTAGTTTTCGTCTATATCCTATAGAAAAGGGCGTTTCCCTTTAAAAGCGACCAATTTGACCCACCAACATGGGACTTATTACTATTAAATCCCAGGAAAATGTGAGTAGTGGTATTTAAACACAAATTTGGTAAGAAATAAATAATGGTACTTCAGTAAAATAATTTTAATAGACTCTAATATTTTACAACTTATTTAATAACTTTATAGATTCTATTTATAAAGATATTTTTCACCAACAAAAATAACAGCACCAATATATCTATTACAATATTATTATTATTATTATTGAATAACTAGTGAAGTTCGAGAAAATAAATATATAACTTAAAGAGATGATATATATAAACATTTCAATAAAATTAACTTTAAAAAGGAAATTGTCATGCTGCAATATAATTTTAGTAAAATTATATAAGAGTTTCTTGCCTTGAACTGCTAATATAGAAATGAATTGCACAGTTAGCAGTTAGCAAGATACTCTTATATAATTTTATTATATAACTAAAAACTGCAAGAAATTTATTTTCCATTATATAATTTTAGTAAGAGAAAAGGAAAAACTTTTTTTCAAGAGTTTCATTTTTCAGAATACAAAAAATATCGTAGAGAAAATAGTTTAATATATCTCGAACAAGTTAACAGTTGATTCAACTAGCAAACATGACTTGATTGGAAAAACTGGCCTATATATCATTTCACCTAAGTTTTACTACAATAATTACACAAGTTTTATGTACAAAACATTGCGCTACCATTTAGAAAGCACATTTCTATATATATCACTTTGCCCGCTTTATTGATAAACTGATTGTTTTTTGTACATTAAAAATATGAACAACTGTATTTGTAAATCTTTTAAAGCAATACAGTTCTTCTTGTATAACTTTCCCCCTACGACCGAACATAATCCGTCAAAACAATAAAAGATGGGTCGTTTTTTGAATAGTTAGTATTAGCACAGATTAGGTATACTATATGTATACAGATAAAAACCTTGTCCCTAATTCGTAGTACGAAAATTGTTTTTATGACGATGTGCAAACGAGTAAAATTTCCTATGCGCAAAAATAAACTCGCGTAAAATAACAATAAACAGCGTATAGAGAGATATTGCTAAATAGCGTGCATGGACGTTAATAAGGCCAGGTGTTATTTCCTTAAGTGAGGTGGTATTAACTCTCTTCATTTATAGTTATCGGATCGGAAAGAATTCTGTTCGCGTCGCATCCGCTATTTAAACTTAACCTAACTTTGAATTTAAAACTTTGAAATTGTTTTGTTTACTAGGTATTTTAAAACTAAAGGGCTAAAATGATTATTTCCAGTGTTTTATTGTTCAACATCTGCCAGTGGGTTTAGGGCAACAAGCAACAAATTCTCTTAGAAGGGCTAAATCGTCATCTGATGTAAACCTAAGCCTCTTTATAGGTTCTTTAATATTGGAAGAGGTAGAATCCATATTCTAGGTCATATTTATTTAATTAAAACTAATCCCAGCTACTTAAATATCAAATTACCTAATAAAACTAAAGTAATAATACAAAACAATTCAAACATAACTGCGTCGTGTCGTTGGCGACACAGTTTGACATTTCAAACAACCAATGGGAGCTGTACTAAATTTAAAATTGACAGCTGTTTGAATTTTGTAGAAATCCGATTGGCTCTTCTGATGTGTCGCTGGCGATAGTCGCTGTTCTGAGAACGGGACTTAAAAGATCTCGCCGGCCGGCCCCGGTTGTCAAATACCCGCACATGCTCATTTAAGCAATTTTTAAACGTTATTTAGAAATAGTGCTTGGTGTAACTGATCCGCAAATTACGTCAGGCGGTAACGTTATTAGCGGGTGTTGCGTTAAAAATTGACTCGCGCACAACTCGCGCATATGGTAACCATGATAAGGTACGCGTAAATACTGCATGACGCTATTCGGTGTTCCGACATTTCTCTACTAACTGTGCCGGTCAGGCGCTGTGCACAATTTTAGAGGCCATAAGTGGGCGTGCTATGTGCGCAAACTAGTAACCTAACTAGTGCCCGATTCCGAAAATTGGAACCACGAAAAACAATAAAGAAAAAACAAAGTTTATAATCTGTATAATCTGTGGTATTAGTAAAAACAGAGCTGGACATTAATTAATACAAAATAATATACAGGGTGGACCGAATTGTAATCGGGAAACTTCGGCAACATATTCTGCAGATAAAAATAAGTAAAAAAGTGCGTATAAATGCAGTATAAATGTTAGTAGGTATTTATTTCCAAATAATTTTTGAACTAACTATTGTCCCTGTAATTTGGATGATAATTGGTGTCTATATAGGTGTTTTTTGACACGAGAAATTTAATTTCGATGTCAATATGACTTCTACTTATAGGCGGCACAACCTACATATTTTTTAAGCGGTTTGAGAAGTAATAATTTTTCATTGGTACCTGTACTACACTACTGAGGGAAAAATGTACATTTCAACCGTTCTCAAGATATTTGGATTCCAAATAATCAATACATGTCATCGTTGATAAAAAAATAAACATATTGACTAGATAGTTATTAGACTGAAACAATTAATTTGGAATGGATTCATTTAAAATTTGGAATGGAATGGATTCATTTAAAAAAGTAAAAAGTTAACAAATTTATCATATCAGCTAAATAAATATATAGTCAGAAATAATCTGTGATAGTCAATATGTTTATTTTTGGTCAATGATGACATATATTGATTATTTAGATTCCAAATATCTTGAGAACAGTTGCTCATGGCGATTTCTACCAAGACACCTTTTTTACGTAAAGAACGGCGGAAATGTATATTTTTTCATTCAGTAGTGTAATCATAGAGATAGAGTGTAATACAGTTACTCTTCAAAGCAGTTAAAAAACATTGAGGTGGTGCACCCCACAAAGAGTAATAGTGACGTCGAAATAAAATTTTTCATGTCAAAAAAAAACCAATTTTCATCCAAATATCGACGTTAGTTATTAGTTATTTGGGAAAAAACAGAAATAAAATGAAACTTCTACACCCTGTATCTCCGAAACGAAGCATTTTAGGACATAAATTTATACGAACTTTTTTATTATTTTTATCCAGAAAATGTTTCCCAATTACAATTCGGACCACCCTCTATAATAAAACTTTAATTATTTTAAATTGTTTAATGTAGTGGGAGAGTAGAATTTAATAATTAATATAGTTTAAACCAGATTCAATTATTAGGCAAAGCATAACACAGCGTCTGCCACAGAACAAATTCATATCAACTGCCAACACAAGACGTACAAAATGTCGAAACAAGAAAAAGTTACGCGAGAAGAACTGTATAATTCCATGCTACAGGTTATTTTATTTTAACACAGAGGTGTCTAGCTTGAAACATTTTACGGATTAAAATAAAAATAAACACGAGACTTTGGAGAGCTAAAAGAGATCTCAATGTTATTCATATGTTAGGACGCCTCTATGTTTACTTATGTCTCTGAAGTTAAATTATACTTTTAACTCTTCCAACTGTTTGAGATTTTTTAATAAGTTATGTTTACTTTAAGTTTATTAAATTACTTTATATTATAATTAATAGCGACATTTTTACAACATATAAAAAATATTTCGAAATTTTACTCAAAATAATTTCCTACTCTTTACACTACTTCTCTTTTAGCGATAAAGATATCTTTAAAAATTTTATTATTTTGATATATAGTACTAATTTTATGAAGGATGATTTAATACTATTACACATAACGATAATGCCACAAAGTCTTTCTCAACTATAGTAAAAAACTGGTCATTTAAACAATGATG